TCTCCTCCTTGTCTGAACTCGCCACAATATATTAAGTAATCCAAAGTATTCAGAATACGTTACTGTCATTGAGTAACGTAACGGAATACGTTACAGAATACATTTTGGGGCATGTATTCTGTATTCTGTAATGGAATACATTTTAAAAGTAACCTTCCCAACACTGAAAGCACATGAATTATATTTTGTGTGTGAGTGTCTATCTATCTATCCATCCATCCATGCATCCACCCATCCATCCAATTTTTGTGGAACCCTCCAGTCTCTTACAGTATGCTACTGTTAACTGAAATTACGGTAAATTGCGACCTGTTAAACAGCAAATGACCGCCTGTTGGGACACGGTATCCTCTAGCAGAGATGAATATTTTTGGTACTGATGATGCGTGATAACGGTAAGTTACTGGTTAATATATTGCAGTTTATTACCTTGCAGCGGGCTTACAGTGACATACTGTGAATAAACGGTAGTATACCAATTTCTTAATCACAGTATGATGTTACTTTGTTGACGTAATTTACGACATAACGACATAACGGTATCTCACTGGCGTCACTGTCGCCAGTGAGATACCGTAAAAAAAGGCTACGGGTGCGTTACCATAATTTGTCCAAGAGTATTATACCACACCAGCAAAAAACTGTATCATCCTGCAGAACGGTAAGCTACCGTAACACGGCGTCATGGTATGACGCTGGCAACAGTGACGCCAGTATGTTACCGTAAAGTGGCGATGAAAAGTCTAACAGTGTGTCATATTTTAGTTCTATATCAAATTAAAAAAAATAAAGAAAAACATATAGATGTGGATATTTAGTGCAAGTGCACATAAAGTATGTGTGCAAAATGATCAAAAAAGTTTGTAATTCAATCCATAAAATGCACAATACCTTTTTTAAATTTGGCTGATTTCTGTTTCAAGTTAATCTCTCTGTGGACCTCTACAGCACTACCACCACACCTGCTTTATTCGGATCCCTGGAAACATTTTCTTTTTTTTTTTTTATGACTAGTTTCACAAACACTTTTGCAATTTCAGCCATCATGTTAAGGATCATCACTGATGTCGAGAGCTTGGTCACCATGTGTGGGCCAGAGGGCAAATAACAGTCTTCTGTGGAAGAGCCCAAAGGCAACATCAGGTAAGCAGGATTCATGTTATTTTCTGTAACATTCACAGGGCTATACAACATGTGTGTGTGAGAGGAAACTTAGCGCAAACAACCTGAATTGTGACATGAGACCTCATGTCTTTGTAGCTCACCACGCACTGAAAAGACAGGAGGTTTTTTGCTATTTTTTTCTGTAAAACACAAGGAGAACCTCATATGCACAAAGACCAAAATCTGCACGCAAATGATTGAGTGCAGAGAAGATGAGAGAGAGAGGAGTCTGGTGTTACACGACAATACATGCAGCACCTTTTTTGCCCAAAGCTCAACATTTAGCCACTGAGATCGCATTATCTAGCATCTAACAATATTACCTGCACACACAATTTACAATCCCTTTGCACCAACTTGGATTGAATTATTCTTCTATTATTCATTTCAGCCTATTTCCTGGGTGCACTATTGTGTTTGTGGGTGTTTTCAGGCAAACATAAAAACAAACATCTTAGAAAATCGAAGTTCTTTCTTTTCAAAGTTCTTAAAAATGAGGCAGACCTGAGTTTTTATTTCCCTATTGTTGTTAGGATGCCTGGGTCGTTGAGTTTATTATATTATTTATAATTTCTAGTCTTTGGGTTTTTGTTAGAGTCATGTCTTATGGTTTGTTTTAATGTGTAATCCTTAGTTGCTGTCTCCCCTGTCCGCTATATCCCCGTTTCCAGTCAGTGTCTGTGTCTGCCCTGGTCCCACGTCTCTGTTCCCTCTGTTGTAGTGCCTGCATGTGAGTCTGTGTCTTTGTTCAGTCTGTGTTATGTGTTTCCTGTTTTACTTTGAAGGTCTCTGTCTTATCTCAGTCTGTTCAGTTTACGCTTCCTTGTCTCGTCAGTTCTGATTTGCCCCAGCTGTGTTTCCCTCCTGTTGTCCATTCCCTGATTGCTCCCTCTATGTATTTAAGCCCTGTGTTTCAGTTTGTCATTGTTGTGATCTACCCTTATTTTGCTGTGTGTTCTGTCTGTGTAAAGTTTACCTTGGAGTCTCAGTTTTGTTACTTTTTGGAGTTCAGCATTAAAGCTGTATTTAAGTTCACCTTTGATTTCTGTGAGTCTGCATTTTGGGTCCTTCATATCACCACCCCTGCGTGCACACAGCCTTCACATAACAATTGTAGATATATAAATTTATATTACATTATGACCTCAGCCTTTATGACCCTAAACTTCAATAAGTAGTAAAGGCAGAATGATTTGCAGCATTTTAGCTTTCACTTCTAGTTGCAGGATCTCTAACATTAGAATCATAAACTGTGCCTCATATAGGTTTTATTTTGGTACTTTACACGTCACACAGTTTCAAACATTGCTTATATGGCAAAGTTCCTCTTTTCTGTGTCTTATCTATTAATATGCCTGTGCACTAAAACTTCCTGTTTTTCAGTCTGGCTGAGCACTTTGTGAGTCAAAAGTGGCCTTGCTCTACAAGCCTTCATTATTAAAGTACATAAAACAATATAATAGGAAAATAAGGATACTAAGGATATTGATTTCATGGCACTCTTCAACAATGAGACCTCTGGCCACGGTCCACTAATATGGTGTTTATAACACCACCCAGTTCTCCTGCTTTTTTTGCGATTGTCCAGGAAAAGTGTTGAATTATCATACTATTACAAAAGACATACATATGAAATTAATGCATATTGAATAGAATTTAAATGTTATTATAAAAAGCAAAACTTCTTGCTTTGATCATGCCTCCAGTACACAATTAGTAAAAAAAAAACATACATAGATAATTGAAATGGAAAACAGTAACACAATTTGTTATATGTATAAAAAGATAACATATTTGTCAAAAATTATTTCAACACTGAGCATTTTCAAAAATATGCTGTAAAATTTTACGTCAGTAATGCAACACTCACTATACAACAAAAAGATCAAAGAAACAGTGCAGTTACGCCAAAAAATTATCAGACAAATATAAAAAACAAAGAAATAGTGTCGAAAAGTGAAAATTCTTAAAAAAAAGACTTGATTTTAGATATATACATTTACATTGCAACACATAGACAGTAAAGTTTTTGTACTTTTTCAGAAAATTTAAATTTAAACCTTTGACTTAAACATAAAATCCAACTTCAGATATTGATTTTTAAAATCTTATAAGAATTCAGAATTCTTGCCTATTGACACAACTCTTGTTTGTTTTCTATCAGCACTCTTCCAACTATCTGAAACTCAAACGCATACCAGTTCAGCACATTGCCTGCTGTGAAGCTCAGATTATTCGAGTAGTTCTGGATCTCACAGGAGGAAAGGGTGTGGTCCCACATGTGGACATCGGACATCATGCCAACAAAGGACTGATTGATATCAAATCCCCCACCATGGGTATCCTGTTCCTGAGAAATGGCAAAGAGTTAAATTAGAAGATGTATTGTTATATTTTGATATACCTAACTGTATGGTCTCAAGCAAAATCATCTACAGTTAGACATCAGTCAAGCTGTAATCACTGGCTAAAAACAGTTTGGTGATATCACTGACAAATCTTTAAATTGTATGATCTAATAAACTTTGAGTATTTCATTTATGTGTTTTAGTATTCAAATGTATAATTTCTTCTAGCCCCAGAGTATATTATACATATATTGGATGTAACATGTAGCCCACAAAACATACTCTAAATATAAACGCTCTTATGCCGCAATGAACCACATGTCCATGGACATGAACAAATGGATCAAATTTTGAATTTGTATTATATTTGTCAGTGTCTGTTTGTTTGAAGATAAAGTAAAAGTTTTCTATGTGTGGTGCTTTGTAAAGGTACCTGTCCTAAGACAATGATAATGGGTCCATTGATGTTGGATCCAGAGCTGGTGAATTTTCTACTTGAGGGGACTCCATCGACCCACAGCTGCATGAGTCCAGAGGTAGCGTTCCAAGTGGAACAAATAGAATGCCATGTGTTCAACTTGTAGGCAATCCCTTCAACTGTATTCAACTTGCCCCTGGCCCACAGTTCAAATAAGCCATTTGCAGCTTTCTTGAATATCAGGAAGTTATTGTGAGCAGAGGGTGTAGCCAGAGAGAACAAGGAATGGTCTCTATTGAGGTCAGTAAAGGACCTAAAAGCAGTGAAAAATTGATTTAATAGTCTGATATGCGGTAGTTACATGTTTCTTTATTTAATTCAGTTTGTTTAATTAAAAATACCTGAAACACACGGTTACAGCCTTCAGATCTTGTCCTGATGTAGTCACCCTCACATGAGCTGTATTGGTTTGTTGTGGGAAGGTGAATATTTTATTTGCCAGATCTTTAAAAAAATAGAGAAACATATGAATAATGCAAATAGAAAAGGAAGTAATAAGCAGCATACTATAATAAAAATGAATTAATAAAATAATATTTGAGAAAATCTAAATTCAAAACAGAAGCATGATTTTTGTTGAAGCTGTTTGCCTTTATGGCAAAGTTTGCCCTCCACAGAGCAACAGCACTAGTGCAGCTAATGCTTCACAATACAACAACACTTCACATTCACATTAAATATTAACTATAGGAATTCTGTTCCTGAGAAATGGCTGAGAGATGAATTAGCAGGTGTATTTCACTCTTATGTTTTTATGACAGATGACAAAAAGTCTCATAGAAGAATAATGAGCTTTTTTGGAAAACATATTGCAGACATGCAATGATTTATGCAATATGATTTTTCATTTATGCAATATTTTATCATTACCAATGCGCATTCAAATGAAATGTATACAAATTTAATTGGTAGTGAAAATGTTAAATGCAACCTTTAAAAGCTCGAATTTTCCCTCCGTAATACCTGCCCATATCTGTGTGCCCTGAAACATTCTAGCTGGAAACTCAGATCATGGCATATTAATATTTGCCATTGTTTGATTATTTCTGACATATTTGGAATTAATCCCTGCCTCTAACACTAAGTATCAAATGTATTTAAAAAAAACCCAATTACAATAATAGGTATAGAATTTGAAAGGAAGGAAAATTGGTTTAGCCATAAGTTTTGCCAAGTGAACTTAAGGTGTGGTGTTTAAACATATTCTGTCTCTTGTCATCATAAGCTGTGTAGCAGGCAGTCTATGGACCCAAATGCAGGACTGAGATGGAGTATTAAACCCCAAGGCGGCAGTTTTTATTCACTGGCAGAAAAGGAACTTAGAAACACAATACTTGAGCACTAGAAAATAAAACCAAAACTCAAACTAGGAAGGATGATCTAAACTGGGAGTTCATGACGAGACCAAGGGAAGCGAAACTAGAAACACTAACATGAGATAGGACCTTCAAAGTAAAACAGGAAGCACACGACAGGCACAGACTTGACACTGAGCTAAACCTACACTGAACACGAGGACACAGGAAAATTTTTTTACAGAACATAGAAGAACTTGAGTGCTAGAAATACAAAACTAGAAGTCATAAGCCACCATGATGAAATCCAAGACCAAAAATAATAATACAAAAAACTGAAACACCAGGTCACGACCCAGGACCGTGACATCTATTCCTGCTTTCCTTTTGAATAAGGATGAAGGAGTATATATATCTAAAATGGTAAACATGGACACCTCTAATGTTAGTATTTATCAACACAGTAGGCTACACACTCTAAGTCTAATACACCTTCATTGTTATTAATTTTGGTTGCATATGTTAAATACTTAATAATTAAGATAAATAAAAAAAAATAGAAGGTACTTTGAGGGATTGCAGTGCACGATGTCAGCATCACCAGTAGAAGCACCAGCAGCATCTACAAAGACATGCAAACATTGTTTATTGGTACTGGTGATACAAACAAATCTGATGTCACTTTCATCATCTGCACCACAATACAGGTAAAAAACGGAAGGGTTTCTGCACATGCAATACATTTTGTTTCAATATGAAAATCATATCTTACCTTGGATACAGTGTCAGGATAGAGCCTTCTATACTCTGGGTCCTTTTGTGAATGGTTTGTTTTTTAACAGTGCAGAATGGTTCCTTTTATACCATGGCTGCTGCTGTAAATGATTAATTTTTTATGGCAGTCATTGTTTCTGTAAATTTCCATGTTCCTACTTCCCGCACGTGTGTTTACAACTTACGGGATTAGATCAGAGGAATCGGAAAACTTCCCCTTCATGCCTATAGCGAAGTTTGAATCAACAGTCACTAACATTCATGTCTTTTGGTTATAGAAATAAGTTAGAGTATGCGGAGTAGAGTCTGTTTTGACAATCTTGTCAATTATAAGTGACACAAAAAAGTGTGCATTTCATTCTTACAAATGAAACAGAGAAGAAAAAGGGGTACGTATCAATACATTAATCACAAAGCCCAGCTTTGAAAACTCCGAAATATGTAATAAAAATGCAATATACGCTTTAAAACCACTTTTATTGTGTAACATATTAATAGTATCGATTGGAAAAATTCTTTACATTGGGCATAAAATTGGTATTAACAGTATTAACAGTAAGGGGATGGCATGTCTTCTATCAATACTCTTCCTGTTATCTGAAAATCCAGAGCATTCCAGTTCAGCACATTCCCATTCCCATTCCTATTATCATCCCACCACGGCTCATTTGTGTATGTGCAGAGCTCACGAGAAGACAGGGTGTAGTCCCACATGTGGACATCAGATATCATGCCAATAAAAGACTGATTAATATCAAATCCTCCACCATAGGAATCCTGTTCCTGAGAAATGGCAAAGAGTTGAATTAACAGTTATATTGCACTGTTTCTGACTGACACAATGTCACAAATAAGGAGAATGAGAATATTTGGAAAGTATAAATAAATAAATGCTGTGAAATTTCAAAACATTTTAATTATATAACATAATAATAGTGTTGTTTGTCCAAGATACAGTGGCTTGGCTTGTAAACTTTTCCACATTTTGTCACATTGTCACTCTATTTAATCATTAGCACTCATCAGGCAATGTTTATGGGCAACTGACTGCACTCAGACCAAAGGGGCTGAATAATTACATGACAAACACGTGTGAGCTGTGTTTGTCGTTTGGAATCATGTATGATTTTCGTTCCACTTCTCACGTGTACACCACTTTGTGTTGGTCTTTCATGTAGAATTCCAATAAAATTGATTCATGTTTGTGGCTGTAATGTGACAACATGTGGGAAAGTTCGAGGGGGCCGAATACTTTTGCAAGCCACTGCAAGTAGTCTGAGTCACCTTAGCATAGTACATAAAATGGAAATGGGGAAATCTAAAGCAATGCTGATCCCAAAAATACTAAAACCAAACCAGGAAAAATGCTTCACTGGAAGTTTGGAGCTGCACTCCTTATGGATATCAGCACAGGTTCCAGACAAGTATTGTCAGGTCTTATACTCTTTTTGTTAAATATAAAATTGTGGTTTTCACTGTAATTTTTGTCTTTAATATAAAGTGAACTTGAAGCACTAGTATGTTGGTTATAGATCCAGAGCTTCAGCCTGTTTCCCCATCGCTCTGTGCTAAGCTAACATAATTAACCTCTCAGACCAAATCACTGTACTTTATCTAATATAGCAACTGTACACCAGTCACAGTGAGTTTGAACTGTACCTGTCCTAAAACAATAGACATGGGTTCACTGATGTTGAATCCAGAGCTGACGAATTTCCTGCTGGAAGGCTTTCCATTTACCCACAGCTGAATTATTCCAGAGGTAGCATCCCAAGTGGAACAAATCGCATTCCACGTGTTCAGTTTGTAGTCTTGCAATGCAAATTCAGCATTTTTGTTCCTGGCCCACAGATCAAACAAATCACTTTCATCTAGTTTGAATATCAGAAAGTCATTGGAAGCAACCGATGTTGCCAAAGAGAAAATAGGGTGGCCTCTTCTGAGGTCTGTAAAGGATCTGTAAGCAATGACAAGACACTGACATACATGATGATGCTTATGATTGTGATGATGATGATGATTATTATTACTATTTGATTTTGCATATTCAACATTACCTGAGACAGACAGTTACAGCACTTAAATTTTGTTTTGTTGTTAACAGCTTCGTGTGAGCTGTGTTTGTCGCTTCTGGGAAGGTGAACATTTTATATTCCAGGTCTTAAAGGAATTAGAGAAATAAATTAATAAAATGATCAGTAACTTTCCATGATGCTGATAACCAGACCAATTTCTCACACCTAAATGACTTAATACATAAATTTACTTTGAGGAGTGGCAGCACATGTTGTCAGCGTCACCAGTAAAAGCAGCAGTGCCATCTGATAAAAAGAAAATACAATAATTCAAAACAAACATTGCTCAAATGTTCACCTTTCAACTTTACTATGGAAATAAGGTGTCTGTCACTTAAGGCAGCCTGCTACAATATATAATGCAGGCAGAAAAAAATTAAAACTTTTGTGTGGAAAGCATTAATTTAATTTGCCATGTGTATCATGTCTTACCTTGAATTCAGTCTCAGGAGGTTGTGTTGCATGAGGCCAGCAAGGGAGTGAGTTTTATAGTGGCAGTGTTTGTTAGTGAAAATAGGTCTTCTTCATTGAGGTCATTGACTCTGGGTTTGTCCTACCCTTAGATCAAGGACAAAGCACATTTTGTAATATTACCTCTGTAAACAACCTCTGGATTTTAAATCAAACAATCAACATGACTGGAGTACAGACTTTGATACAAGGGTTTTTTCCAAAGTGTTGCATTAACTTTGTAGGAATTTTAACCATTCTGATTAATTGAGCCCCAATTTCACCTACTTTATAATTGCTTCCTTTAAGGCCTCAAACTCTTACAGTGAATTACAAAAAGAGAAAGTGTTTCAGAAAGAGCTTTAGCACACTTAAGCAAACGTATAATTAATTCTAGTCAATTCTCTAAAATCCTATCAAACACTGGTTAAAAAAAGAATTAAGTATTGTACTTGTACTTGTTTTGTTACTACTGGGGAGGCCTGGGCAGGAGATCCCCGGACCAGCAGCCAAAACCAGTAATTTAATGTTCTCATTAGGATGAACGTCTCAAATTTTCTCAACCAATTTTAAATGGAAGAACAACTTGCTACCACAGAACAGCAGACCCGTAACACTTAATAGACATTTTGATATACCATGTCATTTACTCATTGAATACTGTCATGGCCATGTTGGCCCAGCATTCTTAGTTTTCTTGTAATTTTGTTCCGTATGCCGTGGTTCCTAGGTTCTGTTAAAGATGTTCCTTTTTTGATTACCCCCTGTGTGCCCCTCTGTGTATCTGTGAGCCCTCGTTTCCCCTCGTGTTTCATTTAATGTTTTCCCCAGCCCGTTATGTCTGTGCTCACCTCCTTTCTGACTCTCTGTGTACTTCCTGTTTTACTTTGACAGTCTCTCGTCAGTATGCGTCATGTTGTGTTCACTCCTGCCCTGTCTCGTTATGATTATCTGTGTCAGCTGTGTTCCCCGTGTGCTCCCACTTCCCTCGTTAACCCTCTGTGTATTTATGTGCATGTCTCCCTCAGTTCGGTGTCGCGTTCTCCCTCATGCTGTGTGTGATTCTCCCTGTGTTTCTTGGTGAGCTTTATATTTAGTTTTTCCCAGTTTAATTTTGTATTATCCTTGATCTGCCTTTCCAGCAATAAAGCTGTGCTCTCTGAGTTTATTCCCCGTGTCCCCGTGAGTGTGCGTTTGGGTCCTCTCCTGCCTGCCACACAGCCGAATCATGACAGAATACTATATAGTTTGCATTTTTGTGAAGGAAAAAAAAAGGTGTTAAATGTAAAATCCATCAGTTTACTGCACTCGGTGACCTATTGCGCTTGACTGCACTAGGATTTATGAAAGCAATAGTAAAAATAATGTATTACGATGTCATTCTAACATCTGAAACATGTGGGTCACATTTTCAAGTCTCTGAAAGGATGCTTCACATGACATTGTGTATTTACTGCTCTAATTATAATGGCTGAGAAGAGGTCTCTTCTCCAATGAAAAGTGAATTCCATAGTCCTCTTTCTATGCTACCATAAAGCTTGGGAGTCTGAGTTAGTCAGATTAATTTGATATTTTCGAAAGTTCTTTTCCCTCCTTTGTATGACCATAGACAGTGAGTCCAGTAACACAGAGGCATTTTGTACAAAAGTGCACCATTGAAAGATCCTGTTATTTTGTCTAACTTAGATCTCTTTATGGCCACTATGGGCAAGAGGAAGCAGTTGTAGTAGCAATATTACTTTAGAGCATTGAAATGAGCATTATCTACTCTGTGAAACAAAAGTAGTTCAGTGTACTTTTGCTTTAGTGAGGACTTGGCCGTCATTTTTTCCCTCCTTTCTAGACACACAAATGAGTTGTGTTGTTGTCATATCTCAGTCTAAAACAGTCTATAGAAGTATATGATAGAAGCATCTTTAATAGTTAGATGCATGTCTTCTCTGAAACATTAAACATTTTAAAAGCTGCTCTACCAAAAATATGAACTTTGTCCTTGTGAGCTCCCAAAATTCCCGCTAATCCACTCTGATATTTATGTTTGCCAAAGCTTCATTATCTCTGACATGCCTTTGGACTTTGGACTTGTTTACTTAGCCTGATGAACTCCTTGTTAGTGCACAACAAGTCAGTGAATTTATGGAGCAGCCAAAAGTCAAAATACAGTCTATAAGACAATAGATATACAATTATGGACAACCTGTATAATTTAACTGTTGCTGTTGCTGTAGGAGGCATGGGTTTAAGATCTAGTAATGTTAGTTTCTTCCTTAAATCAAACCACTAAGCGATAACAAGCATTAAAACTTAACACATCTAAATCCTGAACACAATTTTCATCAGCATGAATTTTCTTTGAATTTCATTTTAATATTTATCTTCTGTACTTTTAGGACTGGCACCAATGATGCCAGCATCAACAATAGAAGCCACAGTGCCATCTAATACAAAGACACTACTCATATTACAAATCAAACATTGCTTAGATTTTTAATATTTGACTTAGAAACAAGTTTTCTGTAGCTCAGGGCATCCTGTGACAATGTATAATACAATATTATATAGTATATAAAATTGTATTATCTATATGAGTAGTTTCATGGCCAAATCAGATCTGTTTATTCAATATTTCATGTCAGATTTAGCAGATAAAAGATCTGGAGATAATTCAAAGTGTTAAACTTGTAATTTGGTAGCTTTTTTCTTGCATCTTATGACCATCATCAGGGTGAAAAATAAAATAAACCTGCTGCACACTAAATGCCAAAAGGCCTGGAAGACCATTGTTAAGAAACTACAATCTCAATGAAGCAGATATATTATTTTTAAAGTCTGCAATCAAGCTAAACCTTCCTGAGCGTAAATGCAGAGAGTTTACAAAGTGCTAACAACTGGTTACACTTGGAACAAAAATGGCTGAGTAGACTTTGCCAGAAAACATGTAAAAGAGCATGCACAGGAAACAAATCTTTGGACAGATTAAACCAAATTTAACTTGATTTAATTAGTTTTTCAGTTTCCAAAGACAAAACTGACGGCTGAAAAAACCCCACAATTAAGCAGCAAGTGATTGTGGCTGCTATAAAGGCCTTGGAGAGCATCTAAAGCCAGGAAACACACATCGGATGATGTTCAAGCGTTCTGGATTCCAGACAGTAAAGAATTTTCATCCTATTGTCATATTAAAACAATCCTTATATTAGTTTGATAAACTTCCTTTGAGCCTCTGAAAGTGGGAGACTGTAAATAAAGCTGTAAGTCCTACTTTGGCCACCAGTTGCATTACAGTTTGGTCCAAACTAAAATATCTTACGCACTTTATAGCATTATTGTGTCCCATTTAATTCCAGCCAGTGCTAAGTTACATGTAAGAAATGCAAATTTACTGTTGAATTTATATTTTTTTTATTTTTTAGTGGAAATGCAGAAGGTCACTAACACTAAGAATCGGGCCTTCAAGAGGTTCTCTTTAGTTCCCAACAAAAATATCAAAAATAGAGGTGATTGGTGAGTTGTTTTTCTACCAGAGCTGATATTCTGCAGTCATTTACAGATTAAGTCTCTGTACTTTCACTTTGATTTTGGATGCATGAAAGGCAGAAGTAGTTTTATTGACTTTTATTGACAGTTAGTATTTGTTTGGCTGAAGAACGACCTGCACGGCAATCAAAAGTCCACGTGAGTGCACGTTTTCCCCCATTTTATTAGCAAAGCACTTGTTTGCTCCTGTATGTGCTCCTTGGACTTGTTTACTTACACTCATTGATCGTTTGAACATTTGAACTGAACATAGCAACACAATTTTCATGGCAATGCCATTTCTGTATTGTAAATACATGAAGACTTAATAGATCTGTGCGTTAAACAGCTCTGTGGTAATCTAAAAACACTTTTATGTGTTTTGTCATGTTTGATCTAAACAAATAAAACAAACACAGCTATCAGTGTTCTTACACAGTGTGTGTGTTCATCTGTGAGTTTCACAGATGAACACACACTGTGGGGCATCTGTCAAAAAGGAACTACTCACATAAACAATAAAAATGCCAGAGTCTTCTGTATATGGTATAGGTCCATTTAATCATAAAATTACACAAATAGTACTCGAACGATCTGATTATTTAAAAAAAAAAGCCAAAACAAGGAAAAAAACTGCATTTATCAGTTTGGCCAGTAGAGGGCGACATCTAAAACACCACCTTTTAGATTAAGTTGAAATACTTACTATAAGTAGGGATGCAGAGTTTTCAGATTTAATGGAGAAGTTTGGACTTCTCTGTCGATTGCACTTTGTGACACGGTGCTGATGGTGATATTTTGGCAAAAAAAAGCTTCTTCTTCTTTTCTTTTTTGTCTTTTACATTTTTATTGTCATGCACTGATTAGAAAAACATTTATAGCACAAGTTGATGAATTGTCAATTTATTGTTCACTTTACAATAAATTTACAATTAGAAATTCGTAAAATTATTTTTTATATTTATGCTCACCAGTTTTTGTTCTCAATGTTGTTCATGAATTAACCAACATGTAACGTAATCACAGCGACCAGTGTAACGCTTTCATATGATTATCATAAAAGGGTTTAAAAAAATCATCAAATATTCTTTATGATGGACATAAAAACAAAGTAGTTTTTTTGACCAGATTTTTGACTTTGTAATTTTCTGATTAGTGACACGTCATGAGTTTATTTTCTATCAGTACTCTATCTATGATCTCAAATTCCAGTGCGCTCCAGTTCAACACATTCCCTGGCGTGAAGTTTAGTTCATCCACATAGTTTTGAATTTCACAGGAGGAAAGGATGTGATCCCACAAGTGGACGTCAGACATCATGCCAACGAAAGACTGCTTAATGTCAAATCCGCCACCGTGGGAATCTTGCTCCTGTAAAGAATGCAGTGTTTGAGATACAATAGATTAAAACTACATTGTAT